AGGGAGGGAGGGAGGGAGGGAGGGAAGGAGGGTGAGGCCCCACCCCACAGATAGAGCCACTTCTTCCCGATCACAAAGCCATGTGCCGAGTATCACGTACATGAGTAAGCCTCTATTCTCCCCATCAAGACCTTGTCTCCCACGCGTCGATTGGCCAGTGCTGCACTCATCAACCCCAGACGTTCACAGTCTAGGTACTTCATGAATGCCAGAGGCCCAGGTTTGTAAACAGGGAAATAAGGAAAGAAGGGAGAAGCTGACTGCCCAGTGGTGCGCGTGCGTATCCTGGTGTTCAGTCCTGTGGGCATTGAGTGTGTAAAATAAAAGGGGTTGGTCGGGAGGGAGGAGGGAGGAGGGAGATTCCTCCACATATTCAAAGCTTGCAAATACGAAAAAAACAGCCACGAATCGAACAGCACAACCGGCCAATAGGTTCCTCCCCACACAAACACTGGCATCTGACCGTGCCTGTTGCACACGTCGGCGGTGCGAACCGGCGCATGAATGTGGCAATTGCCCCGCATTGATCTTTTTCAATTTCAAGACACAACGCTTCGAGCAGGAAACTGCGGCAATATTACATGTGACGCCCGCAAAAACACCAGCACGCATCCACCACCACCCCTAGCCCCTCCACTTCCTGCACGCCACGAGTGTATGGTTCGTGGCATCAGACACCAGGCGACGGAGCCATGACTTTGTGCCGGGAAAACGCGAAATGATCGCACAAAGCTCCTAGAGCCTGGATGTCGTGCTGGCGGGGTCCCATGCTTCAAGAAAGCTTTGCTGCGTACATAAAACACGTAGGACACGGCCACCGTCTTACCACACGGGACACACGCCCTCTTCATCGGCATGTGGCGTGCAGGAGGGGAGAAAGGGCGTCCTCGATTTGTGTGCCGCAAGAAATTGCGCCATGAAATAAGGGGATACAGCGCGGGAAGAGAACAATCCGCCCACGAGAGGCAAGTCGTGCAACTAAATGGTACGAACCCACAACCCCCCCCCGCGCTCGACAAGCACAAGACAACGCGGAACGTTGTGCTACACACTATTTCATGCCTGTGCGGCTCTTGGGTCTTCTTGAGTGGGCGTGGACAAAGGGTTGCACCACATTGTCGCCTCGATCAGAAGCAGGGCAAGATCGTAGGCTCGAGGAGGAACAACTTCAAACCCGCAAGAAGTCACGAAACACAGGGAGATGGAGATAAAAATGGTTCATTGACGTTCTTAGGACGCATGATTTATTGAAGTTAGCAGTGATGGAGATTTTTCCTCATCGGGGTT